AACAAAAGACCGGACCAATGCGAACCCAGAATTTTTTATCACGAAAACTCTATAAAACGGATTGTTTCGTATTAGAGCGGATGAACCGTGGGGACGAACTAATTTAAAACACCCCAGTATTTTCACCACTTCTGGCAGTTAGTTTTTCACGAGGTATCTAACCCTCGAGGGCCCTTTGACAAACAAAGGTCGTGTCAGTTCTTTTTGGTTTGACCAGGGAAAAACATGACATTTTAGTGAGATTATGGGAAACAAGCTGTGCTTCCCTACCGACCAAATACCCCTCCCCTTAACTCAGACCACAGACGGGAGCATCCGTGGAATAAAAAAAAATTGATTTCTATCAGGGATTCACCTGGTCAGACCGGAACCCCCGAAAAGAATATAACGACCGAGCGCAATACTGAAAACGACGTAAAAGATCCCAGCCCGTAACCTAACTATGAAATATGTAAAGGGACTCATAGAAGGAATTACTCACTGAGTTGTCATGACTGATAAACCGATCAATCTACTTCATGTGAGAGACCCTTCCTCTAATCATCGAACCCTCTAGAAATCACATTTTCGTGCCAACACGAGGATAGCCTTACACTGACCTTACCAAGGGACCAAGTTCCTTCGAATTCACATACGGATGCTGGTCGTGAGAACGGTTAGAGTGGTTCCGGGCGATCGGCAGCCTTACAACATTCTTGACGGGCTGAGGATTTTTACCTCATAGGGTAATACTCGAGCATTACTGTTAAGGTTTTTAGAATTTTGTAAAGAAAAGGTAGCTCTCGATGTTAACGACCAAAAAATTTTACATAAAAAATATTTGGAACGTTTATCTTAGACTTTGTTTGAATACTGCATTAATAGTTTACAATTTAATTTATTGAATAAACTTATACGATGTTGTCTATACGATCATGTTTTTCGTCATAGCATATCTCAAGATCAGATATAACATAACACGATCAAGAAAATTCAAAACAAATGTTCATTTCGTAAAAATCGCTTATAACCCAAAATTTAGTCTATGAACCTGCCTTCTGCGCATTAATTAAAAGTTTTCCTTATAAAATTTTGCTATAAAGAGTGTTCTTAAACATGGATCTAATAGTAAAATCCTAACCCTAACCTAAAAAAATGAAATTTTACTTGAAACTTTTTTGGGTGGCGATTTTACCCGGTTGTATTTACAGACCCCTAGTTATAACGATTCTACTAAATTTATATTTACCAGAGTTACGAACATATCTATAAAATAAATTTATGCAATTTCTATAATTTATACATGAATAAGACTAGTTTTTATATTAGCATTAACATTATTGCCAAGTTTGGCTTAAATGCATTACAATAGAATTATAGAGTTTAAAAACCAGTTAATATTATACAAAAAAAATTATTGTCACGGCTGATGCTCGAAACGGCTAAAGCTAGAAATCAGGTACCCTGATTTAAAAATATAAACTCTGCAAAAATCCACTTATGCTCTTTCATTATCAAAACTAACCCTAAATCCTAATCTAACTATGAAAAAAAAACTAAAAAAATGTACCCCAAAAAATTTTGAAAATTTCATATGAAAATATTTAAAATTTCCAGCTCCAGCATCCAAGATATTAGGTTTGATTTTTAAAGCTTAAAGTTTTACAATTACTTTTGTTTCCTTTCCTTTTCCTTCTTCTGTTTCTTGATTTCCTGTTGTCTTTTTAAGTTTTGTATTGTTTTGCATCTAATACAATAATTTTGTCTGATACCACGAACAAAATTACATTCTTTACATTTTATCTGATGTTTTTGGCAAAAACCAGATTTATTACATGTTTTACAATGATGGTTATGATTTGGGTTAGGTATAGAGAAAATAAATAATAGGTTGTTGTATAGTAAAACTATGCTTAGAATATATATATATATTTATTTATTTGTTCTAAGCATGGTTTCAATTGTTTAACTTGGCGCGAATTTAATTAGCCAAACATTTCTATATGCTTCTTTTCTGAATATTAAGGTTAAAATAGGCAATACTACCCATGTCTTTTACTTTACCTAAATTTAGATAATGAATTAATTCTTTTTTTTTTTTGTGAAATCAATTTGGCTAAGTAATTGGTTTAATGCTATACAACTTTGTTTAGCTTGAGGGATATGCACTTATCTTCTGCCATCTGCCCTTTCGTCAAAGAGCAACTGAATATTCGTGGTCCAGTGGAAAGTCAATCGAGCTATCGTTTATTACAGTACAGAGATTTATGGCTAGAAACACAATCGATAAGTAACTTTTTAAAGTTTTACTTATTTAATAATGTAATTATAAATAATAACATCCTTTTTTTTAGGAATGTTGTTCGCACGGGATTTTGCTATGAATGACCTACAAAATTAAAGCAAAAGCCCGAATCTTTACGGCTCAAGACTAGTTTAAATGATGAAGCTCCAATGGATTTTCCAGCATATCACAAGAAATTCTTTGGTTCACGATGATAGGTGCTGATGGCTTTTGATAAGTTCATGAGATTTTTTCATTTGTCAGAATCTGTTGAAATTTCCATAGCAATTCTCTCTCGGGCTTTTCAATATTGTGCACTAGTTTTTAAGCCATTTATTTAGTCAATTTATTTATTTATTCGAATCAAATCACCTTTTATCAATATTAAACTATTTATATTTGCAAAAGGTTTTTACTTCTTTATTATAAAAACGTTTATATCAAAAAAAGATTTTTAAATTAAGCTATAAATAATACAAATTTGGATTTATAATTATACATCCAATATGATAAAACTAAATTTATTTAGAAATATTTAATTCTTTTAACAAAAAGCTTTATTTCAAAAAACATATATAATTTTAT